GTATTTGTCCATATCTGATACAATTTAAAAAATCAATCACATTAGATAAGAAAATTTCAATTTTCCTAAATCAATTGCCTTCTCAATAAATGGTCTTCTCAATCACAATTCACACTCACACAATTTCGACATCCCTATCAGTTACATTAAAATCCCTAAATCCCTAATTAGAAATCACTAAACCCTAAATCAGACAACACATACAGACACAATTAACAAGTTCACAGTCAGTCACAAATTAGAAATTCCTATCAATTTCATCAAAGTCTCAAAATCCCTAAATCATAAAATGGAAAACAGGAGTAGGGGCAGGGGACGATGGACTAACGGAGTGGCTTACCTCATCACAGCACAGGAGCAGGGCTGCACCATAATCGAACATTGCTTTCACTGCAGGAATAAATCTAGAGAAAGTCGTAACAGAAGCTGCAAATAAGGTCACAAAGAAAGAAAAGTATTTAAATCCTTGTGTGTGCATACACAAAATAATAATAATAATAATAAATAAATAAGATTGCCTATGCTAGCTAGTTATGGTGCATTATAGTGCAAATACTATACATACCTAATAGGAAAATCGGGACTCCTATAACTATAGGTTCAAACTTTTCTCCAGATCGACTGGCGATCCAATGGATTCCTACTGCAAGAATACCAGCAAGAAAAGTTGCAATGGTGCTGTTCAAGTATTTATAAAGTGTTGCACCTGCAATGGTAAAACACTTATATAACATGATAATGATCGCCTTAAAAAGAAAATTTAAGAGGATTTCGAACTACTCACCAACTGTATATTCAAACACGACCACAACTGTCATAACTGCCCACATGGCTGTGCCTCCAACACCATCGTACAAAGGCCTCAGTAATAAAACAGCGAGACGACACTAAGAGCTATCCCCACCTTCTCCAAAATTCTACATAACCCCATCACCCCTTTAGTCATTTGGCACTTTGCAAACAGCAATAATCTTACAGCATGGCTCGTGTTACAAACCCATTTTTTTAGTCAAAGTCAAGGGTTGAATTGTCAAGGTCAATGTTAAATATGGACTTAATTGAAATAATTTATTTTCTTGGAGTTTATTTTATATTTAAGATAATTGAGGGTTAAGATGGATTAGAATTGAAGTGGAGGACTTACTTAT